GTGTGCTCCCAGACAAGACTAGAGGATGAGTTGAGAGCCCTAGACTCATCTATTTTTATTCCAGAACAATTCAAAGCTGGCCAACCCTGCTCCCCCACCTCCACCACCTCTCCCTGCTCCCCGCCACATCATCTCTCTCTCTCGTTGGCCACCTGGATAGATTTCATACAAAGGCTTCTAGGACCTGCTGTCCAAGGCATGTTCCAAGATGCGATTAAGGAGTCTCACCCCACAGCCAGTCTGGCTTCTCCTTATCTACAGGCCTTCTGCCAGGCTCCTGCCCACTCTGCTGCTTTTACTCCTGACTTCTTAAGCAGAGTGGTTGTTTAATATGACTCTGACAAACAGCCTAAAGAGCAATCAATACTGATCCCGAGAAACCAACATGTTTCCTCTATATCCAAAATCCTAACTGGAAAACTTTAAGAAGCTCTGCTTGAGGGGGGTGTCTGGGATAAGGACAATTGACTTCCATGATGGGAAGCCTGCAAGACCTCGAGTACCTTATAAACTATGAAAGGAAATATGCACAATGTTTCAATTGTCCTTCATATTTACATCTTTATATGTTACAGAGCTCTTTCATACTTGTTGTTGCCTTTGAATCTTGCTTCTCTCTGAGAGAAGCAATGTGAGGATTACTATTCCCACCAGATACTTGATATCAGGGAAGGTTAATCATGGTGGCAGAGCCCCAAGCAGAGCCAAGATTTGGGAGATTAATAGTCCTAGGTTTGAAATCTGGTGCTCAACACTTTTTGGCTGCATAATCTTAAGCAAGTTATTTAGCCTATCCAACCCTCAGTTTCCTTCTCTATGTTAGGATGATAACAATATTCTTATGGTTGTCTGAAGATCAAATGATATAATATAGGAAAAATACTGGCACAGTATAGATTAAACATTAGAAGCTCAGTAACTGTAGGTTTTCCCCTTAGTGTTTTAAATGTCTTATATTCTGAGTTTTTGAAAATTACTACTCTGAATACAGTAAAATGAACTATACATAATAAATTTCTATTAATCAGAGTATCATTTAAGTGCCATAGTAGGTTAAGAGAACTGGATTAGTGAAAGAAGGGGTGCCCCAGACACTAGCTAAGTACAGGGGTTTGATCTGATAAGGACCCTAGAGCTCTATTCCAATGTATCTTTCTCAGAATAGATATTAATAACCCAAGAAAAAGTCAGATCAAAATAATGCAGAGTACATTTCTTTATTGCTGATGTCTTAGAGCCTTTAGTGTGCATGTGACTTGGGGAGGGGGTGGGTGAATGGAGTGAGCCAGCTTTTCTGTCTTCGACCTTAGAGCCTCTTTTCTGAGAACTCTCACTAACATCTTGAGCACTGGTCTTCCACAGAAGAGTTCATGCAACACGGATCTGGTCCAGTTTCTCCATTTCTGGACGAGGCACCTGAGGTCTGGAACCAAATTTATAGAGGCAGTCTACAGTAGAACCACGTTCAGAGTGCCTCAGTCTCTTTTGGGCCACAGCATTATTTTCACTCCACTATTTTTCCATTTCTAGCCAGCAAATCATAAAATTACAGAGCATTCTGCAAACCACTAATCAGAGAGCATTGTTAGAGAGTCAGGCTCTCTGTTTTGATGTGTTTATCCCAGAAAATAGGAAAATGAGGGGGGGGGGGGAAACAGGCTTAATGGCCAACAAATGTTTCCAAACAATGGGAGGAGCAGGGTTTATGTAATTATCTCAATATCTAGAAAAGTTCTCTATCCGGCCTGCGGGCTGTGGCCAAGAAATCATTGGTCTGGTCCTGCCAACGAGTTAGGGATGAGTTAATTAAATGTTTGACGAATGTAACTGGCTAATTTTGTTGTTGTTGTTATTAATCTTCACTGGAGGATATTTTGTTATTGGTTTTTAGAGAGAGTGGAAGGGAGAGGGAAGGACAGAAACATCAATGGGAGGGACACACATCAATTGGTTGCCTCTGCACGCTCCCAGCCAAGCCTGGGAATCAAGCCTGTAGCTGAGGTATAATACATGCCCTTGACTGGAATTAAACCTGGGACCCTTCAATCCACAGGCTGATGCTCTATCCACTGAGCAAAACCTTTACTCTGCTGAGGGCTATTTGGATATTTATAACATCATTCACAGGCCATACAAAATTATCAACTTAAAAATTAGGCTACTTTCTCTCTGAAATCTATATATATAATGTATATCTATGTATCTATGTATCTCTATCTATCTATCTATCTATCTATCTATCTATCTATATCTAAGTTTCAGTTGCAACCTTGCAACCACAGGCTCATCTAAGAAGCCCACAGTGCCACAGTGCAGTTCCCAATGATAAGCAGCAACTATGGAAACGATCCTGAGAGGGGTCTGAAAAGAATATTAAACTTCTGCTTCTCCATCAGCATCTTCATCACTGAATTCAATGGTTAGGGATAGGCTACTGGATTTCTATCCAGAAAGAGAGGGAGTTGTCCTTGGTATTTGGTGAGGGCTACCTTTGCATTTTATTAAGCCTTCTAGTTCAGTTCTAGTAAAAATATTACATTTGCAAAGTTGTACAGTAGACTTTTTTTTTAAGAATACAGAAGTATTTTTATTTTTTTCATTTACTGATACAAATGCTGACAACATATTCACATATAACTTTTTCTCACATTTACAACTGAATAAATTGAACTGCTTTAATTGCTATAGAACATACTGTATTAGTGTTTTAAAAGTTTATTCCAACCCATTTTTTCTTTTATACTCTAAAACATCTTTATTATGTTCTTGTTGAAATCAACTGAAATAAATCCACAGAAGACTGAGCCCAAAGTCAATCCAACTTTCTCTTTTTTTTTCTTTCTTTTTTTAAATATATTTTATTAATTTTTTACAGAGAGGAAGGGAGAGATATAGAGAGATAGAAACGTCGATGAGAGAGAAACATCAACCAGCTGCCTCTTGCACACCCCCTACCGGGGATGTGCCCGCAACCGACATACATGCCCTTGACCGGAATTGAACCCGGGACCTTTCAGTCCGCAGACCAATGCTCTACCGCTGAGCCAAACCGGTTTCGGCCAATCCAACTTTCTGGGAAGCTGCTCGGGAGCCTGGCTATGCTCCCTACAGCAGACTTCAAAACACACCTGATACTCAATACAACCCTGTAGCATAGAGTTTATTTCCCATGTGCCATGTGAGGACTCTAAGCCTGAGAGAAGGTGTGGTGTCTTGTCCAAGGTCTGACAGCAAGTTAGTGATATGTTCATTGGTATTACGGGTGTCCAGTGTAAGCCTGACATAGTAGATCCTTAAGAAATAAATCAGTTGAATAATTAGTATATTCTCAGGAATGAACTTCAGGTCTTTGAACTTTTTATCTAGTGTTTTTTTCCCATTAAGCTAGGATGGTGGGGCACAGTGGTTGGGCTCATCTCAGTCATTGATAATTCAGGGAGGGAGGCCGGATCTGTCTCCCGCTCTTCTTGGTAAGAACCTGGTACATCTTACTCACCACAGGAAGCCCAGATTCAGCAGTTTCTGGGCTGCAGATTCAACCTCTTTGAGTCTCTGTTCCCTGTAGTCCACTGAACAAGAAGACACCAGCTTCTCACTCTGTCGCTCATTTGTTTTCTCTCTCATCATTGTCTTGACTGTCATTCAGTTCTATTGATGGGTGAGGAATGTGGGCTCATCTTTTAAACCCTATACAGCAACTTTTAAGAAGTTGCCATGTTATGGAGTCATGGTACAGAGTGTGGAATCTCTGAGGGAAGGCAGGGAAGGATGGGTGGAAAGTAATCAACCAAGAACATTGTATGCATATATGTGTGACCCATGGCCACAGACAAGCGGGGGGGGGGGGGGGGGGGAGGAGACACAGGGGGAGAGCAGGTGGGAGAGGGTCATGGGAAAAAAGGGGACATATGTAATACTTTCAATAAGAATTACTTAAAATATAAGAAAAGAACTGTTCTAAGACAGTACATTTCATTAACTTAGTTTGGGGGGGTGGGGGAAAAAGAAGTTGCTGTGTCAGGCACATTGAAAAACCGTTTACTGAAACAATGTCCACCTAGACTTCTTTGCCTTATTAGTTAGCTGAAATTCCCTGAGCATCTACTGTTACCAGGGCAGTGTTGGTGACTGGGATTACAAAGATTAATAAAATAATTTACCTTCAAGGAGCTCAGAGTCTAATGGGGAGAGACAAGCATGTGAATACAAATGTGCAGCAAATAATTGCTGCATCAGAAGTCTGTAGAGGATATGGGGCCCATCGGAGGGATGGGAACAAAAGGCTTTCCTAAGAGTTTTATCAGGGTCCCACATCAATGGATTTGTGTGCAGGAAACCTGTCCCCAGCCTCCATCCCTAAATCAGAAATTGGTTCTAGCTCTGCTTAATTGATGCAGCAATCTGTCATAACCTTGCTCAATGGTAAGAGTGTGGTATTTGGAGCCGTCTAAGGAATGGAGCCAATAGTGATAATACTTTTATTTAGAAAATTCTTGATTGCTTAACTTACTGGTACATTATTTCATTAAATTCTCAAAACAATGCCGTGGGAAAGGTACTGTAATGTTATTCCCATTTTACAAATAGAAAACTAAGGTACATATAGGTTAAGTCATTTTAGCCTGGATCATACAGCAGATACATAACAGAGCTGGAATTTGAACTTATGCAGTCTGACTTTAGAATCAGTCTAAAGGGGCCTCAAAAGACCACGTGACCTTGATATAATTCTTAGCTCAAAGGATTATTGTAAAAACTAGAGGCCCAGTGCATGACATTCGTGCACGGGGGAAGGGTCCCTCAGCCCTTGCAGTTCGGGACTCCTCAGGGGATGTCTGACTGCTGGCTTAGGACCCCTGAAGGATTCTTAGCACTGCAATGGAAGTGGGAGAGTCTCCACCACTGCCACTATACTCACCAGTGGTGAGCTCAGCTTCTGGTTGAGTGGCACTTCTCCTGTGGGAGCACACTGACCACCGGGGCAGCTCCTGCATTGGGTGTCTGCCCCCTGGTAGTCAGTGCGTGTCATAGCAACTGGTTGTTCTGCCATTTGGTTGATTTGCATATTAGCCTTTTATTAAATAGGATGAGAAATAGCATACTTAGTAGTAATACATTACCAAATGATAAGCAATTAGTAAGTCATAATGATTACTTATTATATTACAAAACAGCCTTTTCTAAAGGCGTGGGTGGATTGGGCCTTCACAAAGATGTCTCCTCCCTTTCCCTCCTGGCTTTGTTATCTGAACAGCCTACTTCTTTGTTTTGTTTTGTTTTTAAAGAATGGATGGGGCAGGGGACAGTGGTACATGGTGTTCAGTTCAGCAAATTCTTTCCTGAGCTCCTATCCTGGATCAGGATCTATTTTGAAAGACAAGGGGGATTGCCAAGGTGAAATAGATTGTGGTCCTTACCACCCAGGAATTCACAGTCAGTCTAAGAGGGGAGATGATACAAAACAGACCATTTTAATACAGTTACCTCAGATGGATCTTAGGCAACACATCATAGCTCATTCTACAGCTAGAAGAATGATTTGCTGTTATATTAATTGTTGAAATAATCATCCTATTAATATCCTTGTCATCATTAAAGCATCATTTTTAATGTGGAAAGTAGTAATACCTTAGAGAAGGTCAGCAGCTTCTCAAAGGAGACCTTTAATATGTTCAATTTTATTTGTATGGGAGGGAGGTGGTGATGTTCTTAAACTGCTGGTAGGGCTAGTGAGCCCTTGGCTGGAGGAACATACTATGGGGAAGGATTTATAGCCACCAATGTGCTCCTTAGTGATCACTAATTTTATAGCTGCTTGTACCCAGGCACTTTTTTTTTTTTTTTTTTTTTTTTTTTTTTTTTTTTTTTTTTTTTTTTTTTTGTTTAATGAGCAAGAAGGGAGAGGTAGCTTTCTGAGGCAGGACAATCTGCCAAGAGAAGCAGTGACTTTGAATCTGCTGAGATTGGCAGGGGCTATGCCAAGGCAGCAAAGACTTCATGTATATATGTATTATTGCATGAGGTGCCTTCAATTAACAGATTAATGAGCATTATTGGAGCTCCTGCCATGCGCCTAGCAGTGTGTAAGATGATGTGAAAAAGCCCCAAAGTTCGCTGATACAGACAAAAGGAGTCAACACAGAGAGAATGTTTTGGTCAGGCATTGACTTGTGTGGCTCAGACTCTCAGGAGCTATTGAACGCCTAAGTCCCTCCTTACTGATCACTGCCCTGCACATGACAAAGGAGCGGTCAATTCCCAGGAAGTCCAGGCTCTTCAGGGGCCCACAAGCCCTTTCTGATCTGACCTTTGCCAGGCTCTCTGCTGCTGTCTCCTAAGTCATCCACTCTGCATTCCAGCCGAAACCACAAGACATATTATCCCCTAAATACGGAAGCTCTGTCCAGCTCTCACAGCTTTGCTCATGTTGTTTCCTCTTTTCTAAATGTTATCTCAGCCGTGTGTGGGCTCATTTCGACTTTATACACGATCAGAACTTGATGATCCCTCTTCTTTGATTCCCTCTTTTCCCTTCCCTCCTGTGCCTTTGGTAAGTGACATGCCTCCCATTTCCCAAGTCTTCCTGGCATCGCCCCTCTCAGAATGACACACAGATTTGGTTTTGTTAAGATCTCTACCCCTGGACTGTGAATTCCTCTGGGGTGGGGCTGTATTTTGTTCTTTTCTATCCTTTGTACAGTCACTATGGCAGAAATAAGTGCTTAATAAATTATTTTTGGATAAATGAGTAAATAACTAAAAATTTCAGCATATTATTCCTCTACGATAACTTCTTTGTTATAAACTCAAAAATGAGTAAACACAGGACACTATTACCTTCATATATACATGAACACACAATGAAGATTTGCTTTCTTTCTGCTAATTAACATCCCCATCCCCACACAATATGATAATACATGATTCTGGTGAGGTTGCCATGAAGTGGCATTTATGGGTGATAGCAGTGAAAATTGGTACAGCACTTTTGAAAAGCAATTACACAGTGTATCTCAAGAGTCAGGAAAATGTTTATATGTTCTGACATAGTAATTTTACTTCTGGGAATCTGTCTTAAGGATATAATCCAATATATAGAATAAACTTTCCCTCAAGTGCTATTAATTGAAATAGTGAGGAATTGGAAAAAGATAAAATGACCACCTAGACTTATGACCAGCGAATAAGCAGCTCACTGACTGGAAGGGGTCGCCTGGGCCACACACTGCCCCATCCCCATGTGTGACACACAAAGACTAGTCCAAGAAAAGGTGGGTGGGGTCAAACTTGAATCCATACTTTGGAGTCTGATATCCAACTGTTCAGGAAGAACTGAGTTCACACTGACTTGCTCACTGCGTGACCTTGGGCAACTGACTTTGCCTCTCTGCACTAGGGTTTACTCCTCTGTAAAGTGAGTGTGACTTCTAATCCCTCCGAGAACTGTTGTGTGTGCGTTTGGTAGCCCTAACTCGCGAAGGGATTTGTAAGTCGCATTAAAGGAGTTGGACTCGGTTCTTGGTGGTGGGAAGCTACTTCTCTGGTGGGTCTTAAACAGGAGGTGAAAGGGACATACTTGCTCAGTCCCTCAAGAGGCTCATGCTTAGTGATGTTTGTGGAGTTAATGTTACCAGAGGGATGAAGACAACATGACTATGACTCTGGTCACTTTTGGGCCAAACATACGGCACTGTGAGATGATGCTCTGAGCTGAGCCCTAAGTTATGTTTAGATTAGAATCCTGGAGAGAGGTCAGCTTCTTCCCTTCTCCTTCTGAATGTGGGAAATTAAATATATATATGTATAAATACCGGGTGTTAAAAAATGTATACACACTTCGAATGACTATAAAGTCAGTATTCACTTACATACAGTTCATTTTCAAATTTTAAAGGAATCTACAGTAATTACTAATTTTTTTTTGTCAACGCTTGTTCTCAAACTGGTGCCATGCTGGTCCAGGCACTGCTGATAACACGAAGCAGTGGAGTCACAAACATCACGCATCATTTTGTGTTGTATTGCTGCACATTCTCATTCAATAGCTGCCCTGAATTTGTCAACTGTTGCCTGTTTTGTACAGTAAACTATTTTTTATGTATTCCCATAAGAGAAAGTGTAGTGGATAAATTTTTTTTGTTCAAAGCTTAGTCTGGCTTCACCCGTTATTTAAAATCAGTTAAACCAGTGGGGAGGGGTAATCTAAAATATGTACACAGATAATAACTTAATTAAAAAAATAAAATCAAATCAGTTAAACCTGAAAAGGAGCGAAAATTACCTGTGTTAGCAGCTGTTGACGTGAACATACATTTTTGGGGGCACCCTTTATATGTGCTAGTGCACAGCTGTTTGCAGGATCAAGCCTTTGTGGGGCTGTGAGGGGTGGCATTTTTCTGTTTTCAGGAGGGTTGTTGTAATGAGGAAAATACTGGTTTCATGTGAAAGGACTTTAATCAACTGCCCTTTCACCTGAGGGGCACAACGCTTGGTTGCAGTGCCAGGCTGTATACCCTCTACCTCCTGCTTTCAGCCACCTGGCTTACTGCCTGGGTGCCTCTGTCTCGGAAGACCTGTAGCAGCTGTCCATTTGGGATTTATGTTGTACAGCCCAGGTAACAGTACATTTCCTTCCATATGTTCTCTCTCTTGACCCTCCCCACAACCTGCACTGCAGGTGGGCAGGGCAGGGATTGCTTCCTCATTTTACAGAAGGAGAGCCTGGAACCTCAGAGAAGTGAAGTGCCCAAGTTCACACAGCATGCGTGTGTGTATGCGTGTGTGTGTGTGTGTGTGTGCGTGTGTGTGTTGGGGGGCGGGGGGTAGGACCCAGTGTTCCACAGGTAATCAGGAATCCAAAGCTGATAATACCCTCTTACTATTTTTACTTTTGGTGAGGCTTGCCATGGGAGAAGCTAGGCCTTCCTATCTGTTCCTCTGAGACTTCCTTGCTTTTCTAATATAGGCTGGAAATTGGGGACACATGCACACAGTCTTTTGCAGCCTTATTCTAGAATAGCCACTGAATGTGGAGTTTCCATCAGACACAGACCAGTGAGCAAACAGGTTTCTTACAGTACCTGTCACCCAGAAGTGGAGCCCAGCATGCCTTCTGTGTCCTCAAGGTACAGAGTCCTTTCTGGAAAAGGACTTCGGGGTTCTCTTTCTGCCCCCTTCGCAAGTGGTATTCTCAGGAGGCTGCTTTATTTTAAAGATCCTTCCTTCCCTCCCTCCCTTCCTCCCTGTTTCCCTCCCTCCCTCCCTTCCTCCGTTCCTTCCTTCTTTCCTTCCTTCCTTCCATTCAATTCAACACTTAATGAGTGCCTACTCCTGTGATTAATTTTGGGTTCAAGGCACATTTTCAAATACCAGAAGTTTGGTGACACGCTTGAAAAGACTTTATTGAATCCACAGTGATAGTATTCTTTCCCTGACCACAGTCCTCCTCTAGGTTCGTGTTCTAGTAGAACTCACCACCTTCCCTTTTATACTCTCAAGGAAAAGTTCTTACAGGTTCCAACAATAATAGTAGTAGCTAATATTTGCATACTTTTTAATATGCCATACACTCTTCTAAACACATGACAAATTATTTTATCCTCAGGAACCTTAGAGGTATGTACTGCTATCCTCATTTTACATGTGAGAGAATTGAAGCAAAAAGAACTTAAGATACTTCCCAAAGATCATGTCACATAGCTGGTTCAGTGGCAGAATGAAGGCATTTTGGCTTCAGAATTTACTCTCTTGACCATATGGCATATGGCCTCTTACATGAGAGCGAACGTTGAGTCTTTAGCTCCTGCTTGATGGCAGCTCCCTGTTCATAGCTGCAGGTTCTCCCGCCCTCTCCACCATGTCATATGACCCTCTCATCCCTGGGTTGTGCTGAAAGATAGCACCACATAAGCTCAGAACAAAAAGAATTTTTGTACACTGACATACTTGGCTAAACACCTGGAAGATTCAAGGTACACTATTCTGTCATGGCACATTGGTTACTCATCTGCCCCATCCAGTGACACTCCTGGGTGTACAGTGGCAATCAGGAGCGAATCTGATGCCCATCCTGTTCTCAAGAAATTTCCTAGAAGGGGTGAGAAAACTGTAAACAGCTATGATACAAAACAAAATTAGAAATACCAAAGAGAAAAGTCCTGATATCCTCCCCTTCCTGGCTGGTTTCCTCACGTCTTCTAATGTGAGGAGAGAGGGTCTAAGAGTACCAGCCTCTTCAGGGTGTGCCCTCCTCACAGACCCCCGGGCCTCAATCCCTATTAGGCCTTGAAGGATATGGCGTGACCTAGAGCAGATTAGAGATAAATCACCTCTTGGTGTTTGGAGGCAAACTCTTAAACTCATTCTTGGCCTATTTACCCTCTTCTCTTTTTCTTGAAGGAAGTGAAAAGGAAAGAAGTTAGGTAAATTTTAATAAATCAGTTTAACACCAAAGTCCGAAAGAAATTTAATAAACTCTCTTTTTTGTTTGCTTTGATTTTTATAGAGGTTGATAGGATGGGTGAGAAGCTTAGAGCTATGATGATGCCAGTTCACAAACTGTTGCTGGTTTATGATAAGTATATAAATGCTTAAAAACTATTACAGTAAAATTTGACATTTTTATTATATTTTATAATTGTGTTTATAATAGGTTGGAGATTTAAAGAGCAAAACAAACAAAAAACTGGCCCTTTACTAAAAATGGTAAATAGTTTTGAGAAATACTGGCTTATTTAGTGTGACAGAATGAAAAAGAGCTTCAGTCTTCTTATCTGTAAAATCTCATTTTGTAAAAGGCCTGTGGTCCAGACGCCCTCACGCCATAACGACTGATCTCCAGGAGGCTGTGTGCGCAGCAGGGCACACGGGTGGGCAGGGTTCCATGCATAGCGAGGCACGAACAGGTGGGAGGGGACTTGAACTGTGTCCCCGGGGATCTGGGGAGTCCCACACAGTGTCGCAGGGGCTTGATGCTGCATTCCCGCAGGTCTGGGTCTCGCAGGATTTCGAGGTGCCCGTGGATGGGCAGGGCTGCATGCGCGGCAAGGCAGGTACAGGTAGGCAGGGGCTTGACTCTGAGCCTTGTGGTGCCCGTGGGTCTTGATGCTGTCTCTGACAGGAGGGAGGAGGGAGCCAGATACCCGCAATATTAAAACACTAGAGGCCCCGCCTCAGGAGGAGCCGCCCCACCTCCCGCCGGGTGAGGAGGCACCCTGTGGGCTGCCACGAGAGGCAGGTCGCACTGTCACAGTAGGTGGCTAGGACGCGTGTCTGACTTCTGCTCCAGCCCCCACTCTACTCCCTGACTGTCTGCTCCTGGCTGCCCAAGCCCCAGGCCCGCCCCCACCCTGTGTCTGCTCGGGGCCACCAGAGCAGCCGCGCCAGCTTGGGCAGGCCCCGTCTCTGTCTCTGTCTCTGTCTCTGTCTCTGTCTCTGTCTCTGTTCTGGGCCTCACTTGCACACGCAACCTCCTCCTGTCTGGTCATTTCCTTATAGCGTCCCGGCCTAATTTGCATTTTACCTCTTTATAGATTTAGATTTTCTCTAATTAATTCCCTTTTAATGTGCTTGAATTTCATGCAGTGGGCCACTAGTGAGATTAATAATACCTCAAATTATTATTTTTAGAATTACTTGATTATAAATAAAATTTTGGGACACACAGTATTTGCCCGCCACTGTGCATTTATTGTACACGAGAGGCCCAGTGCACGAAATTCATTCAGGGGCCTCAGCCCTCGCCGCTGCAGCTTTGTACGGAATGACCTCCAGGAGGTTATTTAGCTGTCTGGTCTAATTAGCATATTATGTTTTTATTATTATAGATGTATTATCTTATTGAATCCTCACCACAACTCTGAAATAAGTTTTGTTATCATCCCCATTTTTCTGAGACTTGGACAGGTTAAGGGACTTGCCAGAAGTTAAACTTATAGTAAGTGTGTTTGTGGAACTTGAATGGGAATTGGTATTTTTTTTTTTTTTGAGATTTTATTTTTTATTTATCAATATTTATTTTTTAAATAAATCTTTATTGTTCATATTATTACAAATGTTCCTCATTCCCCCCCCCCCCGCACCCCTGTTGCTCCCCTCCACCAGGTTCCCACCCCACCCCTCTGCCCTTTCCCCATCCCCCATTGTCCTCATCCATAGGTGCACAGTTTATGTTCAGTCTCTTCCCACATCCCCCTCTCCCCTTTTCCCCAAGAATAAACAGTTCACTCCCCTTCCATACCTCTGATTCTATTATATTCAACAGTTAATATTGTTCCTCAGATTTTTTTTTTAGTTTCCTTGGTTTTTAGATTCACTTGTTGATAGTTACGTATTTGTTGTTCATAGTTTTTATCTTTATTTACTTTCTCTTCCGAAAGAACCTCCTTCAGCAATTCATATAATTCTGGTTTGCCAATGATGAACTCCTTTAGCTTTTTTTTATTAGTGAAGCTCTTTATCTGGCCTTCGATTCTGAGTGATAGCTTTGCTGGATAGATTATTTTTGGCTGTAGGTTCTTGCTATTCATCACCTTGAATATTTCTTGCCATTCCCGTCTGGCCTGCATGATTTCTGTTAAGAAATCAGCTGAAAATTGTATGGGTGCTCCTTTATAGGTAACTACCTGCTTTCCTCTTGCTGCTTTTAATAGTCTCTCTTTGTCTTTTGCTCTTGGAATTTTAATTATGATTTGTCTTGGTGTGGTCTTCTTTGGATTCCTTTTGTTTGGAGTTCTGTGCACTTCCTGGACTTGTAAGTCTAATTCTTTCACCAGGTGGGGGAAGTTTTCTGTCACTATTTCTTTCAGTATGTTTTCGGTATCTTGCTCTCTCTGATCTTCTGGGACCCCCATAATTCTGATGTTGGTTCGCTTGAAGTTGTCCCAGAGGTTTCTTACATTATCTTCAATTTTCTGGATTCTCTTATCTTCTTGCTTCTGCGGAGGAGTGCTTTCTGGCTCTTTATGTTCCAAATCTTTGACTTGATTCTTGCGATCTTCCATTCTGTTTTTAGGACTCTGTATAATATTTTTTATTTCAGAGAATGTATTCTTTATTTCTAGTTGATCCCTTATTAGTTCTTGTTGATCCCTTTTTATCTCCTCATAGGTCTTATCGACCTTTTCTAGGAAATTCCTGAAAAACCTTATAAGTGTGGTTTTGAACTCTATATCCAGTCTCTTCTTTTCCTCCATTTCTTTTGTTTGTGATCTCTTTCCTTGTCTCAGCATTTTCACAGCTTCCCTGAGTTGGTAGGGTGGCTTTGTGTGCTAAGGTGTCCTATATGGTTCAGTGAGTCAGCCTCCCAGTTACCTGAGGTGGACAGTCTTGGTGTAGCCCTTTGTGGGCTGTGTGTGCAATCTTGTTGTTAAGCCTTGCTTGTTGTTGGTATCACTGGGAAGCGTTGATCTCCAAACGGGAATTGGTACTCTTAACTGTATTGTACCATGTTCTCCCTAAAAACCCTGGCATACAGGAGGGCTCCCTGTCATTCTATTTTCTCAACTTTACTAGAGATCCAGAAACCTGCTTTCTTATTTCATCACTGACTCAACTGATTTTGCAACCTTGGGCATGTCACTTCTTTGTACCATAACTAGAGGCCCAGTGCATGACTTTGTGCACCAGTGGGGTTCCTCAGCCTAGCATGAGGGATCAGGCCAAAACTGGCTCTCCGACATCCCCCAAGGGGTCCCAGATTGCAAGAGGGAGCAGGCCAGGCCAAGGGACCCCACCAATGCACGATCCGGGCCAGGTAGGGACATGGGAGCACTCCAGGTCTTCTCTGACCAGTCTTGCTCAGTCCTGATCAGCTGGACCCCAGCAGCAAGCTAACCTACTCGTCTGAGCATCTGCTCAATGCATGTCAGTGGTCAGTGCATGTCATAGCGACTGGTCGACCAGTGCACATCATACAATAGTAAACAGTTGAGCGGCCTTACATATTTACGCTTTGATTGGTTGAACGGACCACCAGACACTTAGCATATTAGGTTTTTATGTATAGGATTACCTCATCTATCCTCCGTAGTGGGTTCTATGTTATATTCATCTTTGGTTTCCCAGCATTTAGCTGAATAGGGCTTGCTATATAATGGATATTGAATACTGATATAATTGATTACACTAGATCAGTGGTTGGCAAACTCATTAGTTAGCAGAGCCAAATATCAACAGTACAACGATTGAAATTTCTTTGAGAGCTGAAAACCGACTTCTGCACACGGGCCACGAAGTTTCAGTTGCATTCTTTGTGCGCACCCGTACGTGATATTTTGTGGAAGAGCCATACTCAAGGGACCAAAGAGCCACATGTGGCTCGAAAGCCACAGTTTGCCGACCACTGCACTAGATGATCTCTAAGCGTTCTTTCAGTCTTACTTTTTCTGAACATCCTAGGTACTTTACCCTCTTCCCTTCCTCCTGAGCACCCTATTTCCACCTACCCCACCCAGCAGCATGATCTTATTTTCTCATGTCTGTTTGTCTTAGCCAGTCTAGTTCATGAGTACTTTGAGACAGCCCACACCATGGCTTTACTCGTTTGTGAAATGTGTCTAGACTAAACTCACCAGGGATAATAAAGTTCAGGGTGGAAGGGGCTGGATCACAAAGTCAGAAACATGCTCTTACTCCATTCTTATCCAGTGGGGCCTGAGCCTAGGGCAGCTCTGCTGGCAGCCCTGCCAGGCCTGAGTAATGGCTGCAGCCTGGAGCAGGGTTTTCCATGAGCTCCATCGGGGTCTCCGTAATTGGAACATGGCACCTTCCGACTTGTAATAGATGGCAGAACGAGAGGGGCATTTGTCACTGCCCGACTTCCCTGCAGGGAAAGAGGCTCATAAGTCACAGCTGATAAACCCTTTGATGACTTTTAAACTTCATTTACAGAAAAGAATAGCTATAATCAACCAACAGCAAGCAGTGACTAATCTTGCCACATTATCACAGTGAGGAGCCAGCCCTAAGGCATGGGAAATGGGGGGAGGGGCACCCCCCAGGCTCACAGCAAATACTTATTGGCTCTTGGAGTTGAAAGTATGCTCTTAGCAAGGCGCCATGAGTTTACACTGAAAAGGATCAGAAAGTGTTAGAAGCTGGTCTCTTGGAAGGTACAGGGTCTGCTTAGCATGAAGCCACTCTGGGCCAAGGTTAAGAGGACCAGCTCTGGTTTCTTATGGACTGGTCCCAGCGCTGACATTGCATGGCTTACGTAGACCCTGTTTCCTCATGTGAAGGGGCATTGTACATACCGTCACCTCATAGCAGGAAACGTAGTGCAGTTCCTGGCACAGGAGTAAGTGTTGTTAATGATAATCATGATCACACATTTAATCCTGGAAGGGTCCTTTGTCTCAGAACCCAAGGTCATGTTGCAAATCAGCAGCAAAGCCAGGACCAGTCCTATTGGAGGGGGAGGGGTTAGTGGGAGCAATTTTCTGAAGTGGGAAGTGCAAAAGCTTTAGAATTAGGCAAGCTTGGGGTTCTTTTTATCTTAATCATGCCACTTAATGTGACTGAGAAAATTATTTAAGCTCTCTCTGAGCCTCAGTTTCTTCATCTGTAAAATGAAGATGATTCTACTTATTTTTCATTAGGTTGTGATCAGAATTATATAAGTAATTCATAGAGGCCCAGTGCACGAAATTTGTGCACTGGGGGATGGGGGTTGTCCCTCAGCCCAGCCTGCACCCTCTCCAATCTGGGACCTCTTGGGGGATGTCTGACTACCCATTTAAGTGGCAGTTGGACATCCCTCTCACAATCCGGGACTGTTGGCTTCTAACCACTTGCCTGCCTGGTTGACTGATTGCACCTAACCATTCTGTCTGCCAGCCTGATAGCCCCCTAACTGCTCCCCTGCCAGCATGATTGAGACCTAACTGCTCCCTTGCAGGCCTGGTCACCCCCAACTGCCCTCCCCTGCAGGCCTGGTCACCCCCAACTGCCCTCCCCTGCAGGCCTGGCCACCCTCAATTGCCCTCTCCTGCTGGCCATCTTGTGACACTGTGGGGGTGGCCATCTTGTGACAACATGGGGCTGCCATCTTGTGATGTTGTCGGGGTGGCCATCTTGTGATGCAAGAGTGTGAGGGTCAATTTGCATATCACCTCTTTATTATATAGGATTATGCCTGAAAAGCTTCCAACACAGTGCCTGGCATAAAGAAGTTGTGTGTTTAGAAGCATCAAACAGACTGTATAACCTCTGAGGGAAGGGAGGGTGAGGGGGAAAGAGATCAACCAAAGGACTTGAATGCATGCATATGAGCATAACCAATGGGCACAGACAGTAGGGGGGTAGAGGCTTGTGCTGGGGGGTAGTGGTGGCCTGGAAGAGGTTAGTGGGGAAAAAGGAGACTCATGTAATACGTAAACAATAAAGAATTTAAATTAAAAAATAAGAAAGAAGTTGTATGTTCCCTTTTTGTTCTTCCTCAAGACAAGAATTAGTATGCAACTATCAAGGGAAGAGGAGACAGCATTAAAGAAATGCTCTTATTTCAGTAAACCAAGAGAAAGGGCAGAATTGAAGGAGCAAAGAGGAGAAAGGAACATGTTTTATATTTTGTTCCTCCTGCAGGTATTGTCTTTCCCCATGTCACCACTCAATGGGAATCACCTTAAACATGCTCTCTTTTTTGTAAAGCCTTCTATACTGCTCCTACTCCTTCTCTGATATTCCTGGTTGTTTTGCATCGGGTTGCTTCTGGTCAGTGGACTCCAGCCCAGGTGACATGTGCTTTGTGGCTGTGGTAAGTGTCCCCTCCTGAGCTGGGAGCTCTTTGAGATCAGATAGCAGAATAGCTGGATGAATGAATGAACAATTCATTTGTTAATTAACACCTGGCCCATAGTTGGCCAAGTGAGTATTTGGATATCTGTAATTATGATTGAATGAGTAGCTAGGTGTTTAGATAATTTCTTTGGTGAAAATTTTTAAAAAGAGGTTGGCCCTACCTCAGTGGATAGAGTGTCAGCCTGTGGACTGAAAGTCCCAGGTTCGATTCCGGTCAAGGGCATATACCTTGGTTGCGGGCACATCCCCAGTAGGGGGTGTGCAGGAGGCAGCTGATCGATGTTTCTCATTAATATTTCTAACTCTCAACCCCTCTCATATAATAATAGAGCCAGGTCCGAGCGTCCTGGACCTATAGCCTGTATCCCTTATGCTCCTCTCCCCCCCCTCCCTCTCCCCCGGGTCCCTCAGGGTTCAGGATGCTCAAACTGGGGGTTCTCATGGGAATGGTCAGGAACTAAAAGAGCACGCCTGGGGAAATTAGTTCTATCTGGCCAGTAATGATCATTTTGGCAATGCTAATGAGCTGGGGCCAGGTGCGTTTAATGGGATGAATAGATGCTTTGTCATTCCTGTCCGCTTGGTAACCCGGAGCCTCTGGACCGAGGAGGCCCCACGTGGCTCTCTTCAGAAACAGCCTCCTCATCTCTGATAGCTATTTTCCTTTAAAACCGCCCGAATGTCCCCAGGGTTATTTAAGGGCAGAGGTCAAGCCACAGACTGGTGTGACCCTCATTCCATGCTGGAAACTAAGGCCAGAGATGTCCAGCCGATGGTGTTGGTGGTAAACCATTAAGGCCAAGAGCAGCAGCTCCTCTTTTGAAACGAGCATTTCAAGAAAAAGATCCAGTGCTGCAGAGGGCTTACCTATTCACTGTAGGTGTTCTGAGACTGGGATGCAGAATGTTGGACAGAAAGCCTGTATTCAAGTCCCCTAGCTACTTTCTTCACTACCTTGGTGACCTTCAGGAAGTCACTTACCTTTGCTGATCCTCAGCTTTTTTAATCTTTAAGATAGGGCCAACAATGTCACGATCAAAGGTATATACTGGCTTTGTCTACTAAAATCCTGTGCAGGTGTGTGTGAGGCATTATAGTAGAAAATGGGAACCGGTGAGGACCAAGGAGAGGGTGTGACGGCTCAGGTTGACACATTCTCATCATGGGACTAAGTACCGTACCCCAAACATCTCTATGCATAGGGTTTGGAGTTACACAGTCTGGGTCCCAGGTCTGGCTTTGCTCTATTAATCAACTATTTTGCTTCTCTGAGCTTCTGTGTCCCTATTTAAAATACCTCCTCATTGGGCTGTTGTAAGGATTAAATAAGATGAGGTATGTAAAAGTTTCCGACGCATTGTTAGCAGTCAGTAATTTGAGGCCATTCTTACTGGAATGGCCTCTGTGGGTCTCATTTACCTAGAGTTCAGGGGTAGAGGTACCTTTTAGGACTTTTCTACCTTTACAAAACTCTGTTACTTCATCCCATGTTTAGGTTTGGTTCTTGATTTTCAAAGCATAGCTTCCATCGGAAATGTTTCAGCTGGGAAAGTGATTTGTTTTTGCCCAATTTCTTCTATCCCTATTAACCTGAAGAAGCTAGCCCATCCTTTTGAGCTGTAAATTGCATTTCAAAGACTGTGTCCCTGGTGTGCTTTAATTAGCTTAAGGACCCAGTTTTCTGCAGCAGTTGTTTTTCTAGCAGGTAAAGGTATAGACACTCACTTGGGAGCTAGACCCTGGTTTTCTCAAATACAGCATATCTACACTCACCCCCTCCCAGGTCTTCATCGTCCTGGGGCCTGCCTCGTATCAGCCCCACAGGAAAAGTGGAATATAAGGACCCTAGATTTAGAGTCAGAGGACCCACGGGGTATTTGACGCTACTACGCGTGGCGTAGCATTCTCTCTGTTCCTCAGAGTGAGGACATAAAAGCTTCATGCTCACTAAAGTCCCTGATAATCTGACATTTCAAAAGTCTCTGGAGCCCTAACTGGTGTGGCTCAGTGGATAGAACGGCAGCCTGCGAACTGAAGGGTCCCAGGTTCGATTCCATGTACCTTGGTTGCGGGCACATCCCCAGTTGGGGGTTTGCAGGAGGCAGCTGATCGATAACTCTCTCTCATTGATGTTTTTAACTATCTCTCTCTTCCCCTCTATGAAAAAAAAAAAAAGTCAATTATATATATATACTTTTTTTATATATAAAAAAAGTCAATTATATATATATATATATATATAGTCTCTGGAAACAAGTCTGGTTCTCTCTCCCCCTCCCCTGTTTTACCTCCCCTCCTTACTACCATTGCCAAGAACAGTCCCTCTGCTTATCTCTCCTTAGCT